ATCTATTTTTAGAAATAATAGTTTCCATAATTGTTTTTCATATTCATTATCTTTCCATTTAGTAATATTATTCTGTATTCAATAATGTTCATCTTCTCAATTACTTTTCTTCCAATGAAATTTTTTCAATTTCTTCATAATTACTATTCATTTCTTCAATAATTTTTAATTTACCATCAATTGAACTTTTAATAAATAATTTTTCAATAACAAATGAACCATTTTTATTCATACTAATTCTCCAAATTTTTCCTCTTATCATTTCAATTAATTGATTATTTTCTTCGTTAGTATTATATTCAATTATTTTTTCAACAACATGACTTCCTTCTTTATGATTAATATATTCTTCAATTCTTTGTTCTTTTAATTGATAAAATTCTTTCATCATTTCTTTCTTTCTTTGTTCAATTAAAATTTCAAGAATCATACAATAACCATACTCAATAAATTCTCTTTTTCCTTTCATCCATTCTTTTCTTCCTTCTTCAAAAATATTTCCTCTTCCACATAAATGATTTTTAATTCTTTTAATAAATTCATCTTCTTCTTTTTTATTACCAATTTTTCTAATATTTTTCATAACATTAACTATTAACATAAAATATTTCTTTGAAATAATAATATCTATTTCTTTCATTATCTTTTCAATTACTTCTTTTATTTCTTCACTTTTTTCAATAAATATTTGAATTACATGATTTCCAATTCCATCATTAATTATTTCTGGTGTAATATATTTTTGACTAAATATTTTTAAATTAATATCATCCATTACTTTAATACTTTCTTCTACAATTATAGACCAATTTGGGTCATTAATTGGAATTGAATTATTATTAATAATTCTAATCATTTGTTTTCCAATATTACTCATTCTATTTCTGATTAATTGAATTATAATTGGAATACTTTCTATTTCTATTTCATGTGTTTCTTCATCTATTACATATTCACTTATTTTTTCTATTATTTCTTTATTTCTTTCATTCATTGAATATTGATTCATTACTTCAATCATTTCACTAATAACATGTGCTGAATATTTTCCTGTAATTATTTCTTTTATTGTGTATTTCTTTTCTTCTTCCATTTTATTCTCTTTTTCTTCTTCTTTTATTATTTTATATATTGGTTCTGTTATTATTTTATTACTCTCTTCTATTTCTTTTTCTTTCATTGTTCCAATTATCATTAAATATCTTTTATAAATACTTTCTATTACTCTTGATCCCATGGCATCATTTATTATTATGTAATATTTCTCATTCCCAATACTTTTCATCATTTCATCCAATTCTTCTCTTCCATACATCCCCACAAATTCTTCTACTAAAAATGATCCTTTTTTATTACAAAATATACTATCTTCTTCTCCTTTAATCCCTTCAACACTATTCCAAATAATACTTTCTCTATTTTCTTCATCTACTTTAACAATTCTACTGAGTTCTTCAAGATATCTATATGTTTCACTCATCTTTTCTTTCTCTTTCTCTTT